TTATTTTTTATTAATATGCATAAAATAAAAATAAATAGTTCATCTTTGGATGTATAATTTATAATCTTAATATACTATCATTTGGTGTAGACATATGAATCATAAAATATTTTTATTTCATAAAATTAAATATTATATTTAAAGAAAATAAGGAAATTACTTTGGATCAATCGGGTGATTGAATTAGGGTACTGTCCACTTTGATTGAATTACTTTTAGGTGATATTTAAAATAGTAAAAAAAAACTTGACATAACTTGGTTGATCCGAGGTAATTAAGTTATGTATCAGTTTGACCAGACCAAATTGATTTTTGAACCTAAATATAAATTTTAATATTGAAAATACTTTATTACGTGAATGTAATGTAGTCCAAACTTCAAATAATCATATTAACAATACTTTTATGACAACATGATTAATGATTTATGAATATTTATATATCATTTTATTATTATTTATGTGAACAAATTATTTATTTCATTATCATTTTTATTAATGTACGGTAAATATAAGGTTTTCAAAATCGCACCGTCTTGTGGTTGTTCAGATTTTAATACATAATACTTTAATATATATATATATATATAGTACTCTTTGTAATAAATTTAAATAGAAAGTGTTACTTAAATATCTAAACAATTTATAAATTCAAATGTTTAAACTAATTGATAAACAATTTATAAATCTCTATTTTATTTAAATATGTAATTTTATTTAAAATAATTTTTCATGTAACAAAATTTGTTCAGAAAATCGTATCGATCTTACCAGTCCAACATACTGGTGTTGGCGGATTCGATAGCAAATATTTTATTCAAGCGCACTAAATCGGTTATAAACCGGTTCTCGGTCCATTCGGTCGGACTGTGTCCAACCCGGTTTAATTTATAAATAATGGGTAAATTATGATTAATGTTATTTATTTATTTAATTTATAATACAATCAAAATATTATTTTCCCGTGCATCGCATGGGCCACGTACTAGTTAGCTTAGAGAATAAGTTAGGTTTTAATATTTAGAGCTTTATATAAAGGACTCTTATGATTTATTGTTGAGTGGTGGATTTTGAATAAAATATGAAATTGATATTGTGTTTAGGTGTTCTTGAGATTGCAATCTCATTAACATTGTCTCACTCGTACGCTTCCCCTACATTAGTTGGTATCAGAGCTCAGCACCATTTAAGATGCTGCCACGAATAGACGATATCGATGGGCATGACACCATCATTATTCATCCGGATCGACCAGCCACGGGCTTCGGCCGCCAGATCAATCAATTGGATCGTCCGGTTGAGAATCTTTAGATGGGGATCGAAGAAGTGCGTCTTAGGATCAACAACATGGTTGAGGATTTGCAGACGAACCGTGATGTCGGCAACCGAAGCGTGCGCGGGGGAGTTCGTGGAGGACGTTGAGGCGGTGGTCTAGGCGGGGCGCTCTGCTGGAGGTCTGCACAACCATCGTCCGTCGACGAAGACGGCGAGGAGACAAGCACAGAGGTGAACCCTTTTGCAGGCGAGTAGCAGCAGCACCAGCACGAAGGAGTTGCAGGCGAGTAGCAGCAGCAGTGTCACGAATGGGTTCTTCCGCTCTATGGGTTGGGCTTTGCAACCGGCTACGAGCAGCGCTGCGACTGGACGCAACGGGACGGGCTTCGCAACCGGCGGACGCCCCTTTTTGGTTGTTTTTGTGTTTCTCGTTCATTTATAGATGTTTTAACAATTCATTTATTATACATATTTGCTTACTAGATGGAACATCCCTAAGTTACTATGGATTTTTGCAACAAAAGTTTTGAATTTGTAAGCACATAAAATCCTTATGCAAACTCTGGACATAGACTTACCCTCGATTCCACCTGCAATTAATCATGTTTACTTTACCTAAACTAACAGAAGACAACAATCAATTGTAACACTTTGAAAAGGTTTGGAGAAAAAAATTCGAGAACTGTAATAAAAACAATATAAAATCATTAAGACAAAATGTAATTGAAAGACTTACATAGAATCAAAGTATTGATAACAAAATTCTCAACACGAAACAATGAACAACACAATGACATAAACTCTTTATTTCCTAGTGATCCGGGACAACTCAGGTACTACGACCATACGCCTTGATGCCTTCTTCTATCTTAACACCGCAACTCGGGCAACGAGACCCAACTGCATTGCATATCCTTCCAAAGCAGGGAAAGCAGAGGACCTGGTGCTTGCAGGGTAAGAAAACAACAGACACCTCATTCTGCATACAAACCATACAGACCCAACAGCAATCAGCCTCCACCTTGCTTTCCAAGTTGAGTAAGTAGGCTCTTGATTTATCCTTTTGGGCTTTGAGCTTTCTGGTTTCTTCGTCCAAAAGTGCATTAATGCGCTCCTTTTTATTTATTTCATGTCTCCATTCTACCTGCAATTAGAAGCCAAAATGAGAGGTTTT